AGTCTCTTGACTCAAGTTATTCCGCAAGACATGTCTTTGGCCACCCTATTTCCACTTTACAGCTGCAACGTTACTGGTTTGGACACCGATACTACATCCCCCTGTCTTGGCCGCAATTACACTCTGTCTGCAGATGACATTAACAAGATAATTGCTCCCGACCTCACTGCAGTGCAAGCTGCCAGCCTCCGTAGTCTGCTAACATCATATAGAGACGTTTTCGACTTTGACCACCGCCCTCTCAGCCAAACAACTGCAGTGACTCACCGGATCAACACTGGTGATGCCATCCCTATACGGCGACGTCCATATCACGTATCTCAAAAGGAACGCCAAGTAATTCAAAATGAAGTAGATAAAATGATTACTAAAGACGTAATAGAACCCTCATCCAGCCCCTGGGCCTCCCCAGTCGTGCTCGTTGAGAAGAAGGATGGCAGCTGGCGCTTTTGCGTGGACTATCGCCATTTAAACAACGTGACCCAAAAAGATGTCTACCCTTTGCCTCGGATTGATGACGCCCTCGATTGCCTCCATGGTGCCCAATACTTTTCGTCTATCGACCTTCGGTCCGGCTATTGGCAAATTTCCGTCGACCCCATGGATCGTGAAAAAACCGCTTTCGTTACGCCCGATGGCCTCTACCAGTTCAAAGTCATGCCGTTTGGACTGTGTAATGCGCCGGCAACTTTCAAGCGCATGATGGACTCCCTTCTCCGAGGATATAAGTGGTCTATCTCCTTATGTTACTTAGACGATGTCATCGTCTTTTCACCTACCTTTGACAGCCATATAACACGTCTGTCAGCCGTTCTGGATGTTTTTCGAAGAGCTGCTCGCCAGCTCAATTCTGCAAAATGCCATTTAGGACGTCGCCAAATCACCATACTCGGCCACCTTGTCAGTGCCGATGGTGTTCAACCAGATCCCGAAAAGGTGCGAGCAGTACAACAATTTACTGAACCACGCTCAACCAAGGACGTCCGAAGTTTTGTAGGGCTATGTTCCTATTTTCGTCGATTCGTCCGCAACTTCGCCGACATCGCTCGACCGCTTACTGATCTCTTAAAGAAGGACGTCCCCTTCGCATGGGGTATAGAGCAAGCGGACGCCTTTTCGGCTCTTATTCATCTGCTGAATACGCCACCAATACTGGCCCATTTCAACCCAGCATCACCTACAGAGCTTCCGACCGATGCCAGTGGCCATGGAATTGGAGCGGTCTTTGGCCAACGACAGCATGGGAAGGACCGCGTGATTGTTTACGCCAGTCGTCTTCTTTCACCTGCCGAACGGAAGTTCTCCATCACTGAGCGTGAATGCCTAGCTTTAGTGTGGGCCGTGGCGAAATTCAGGCCTTACCTGTATGGCCGAACTTTTTCCGTTGTTACGGACCATTACGCTCTTTGCTGGCTGTCATCGCTAAAGGACCCATCTGGACGTCTTGGTCGCTGGGCGCTCCGTCTGCAAGAATACTCATTCGTGGTCCACTACAAGTCGGGACGCCTCCACACAGACACAGACTGTTTGTCACGTTATCCGGTTGAAACGCCCGACTTGACAGACCTTGATTCAGACCCCTGCGTTCTCTCCATCCATGCTTTGGGTGATATCCCCACCGAAAAACGACGTGACCCGTCGTTACTCTCCATCATCGAGCGGCTGACCTCTGCTCCAACAAATCCAACAAACCCTTCCGTTCACCTGTTCGAACTGCACGACAACATTCTGTACCGTCGCAGCTTCAACGCTGATGGCCCGGAATTACTACTCGTGCTTCCCCATCACCTGCGTACCAGCGTTCTCGAACAACTACATGACGTACCTACAGCCGGTCACCTAGGCGTCTCTCGTACCTACGACCGTGTGCGACGTCGCTTTTTCTGACCCGGACTGTATCGTTCTGTGGTTCGCTACGTCACTGCTTGCGACCGCTGCCAACGCCGCAAGCGCCCCTCTGTGCTACCGTCTAGCCTCCTACAGCCCATCGACATACCGACGAAACCATTCTTTCTTGTTGGACTTGACCTGTTGGGCCCGTTTCCTACGTCCACCTCCAGAAATAAATGGGTTGCAGTCACCACAGACTACGCCACACGCTTTGCCATCACTAAAGCACTGCCGACAAGCTGTTCCACTGACGTGGCTGACTTTCTCTTGTATGAAGTCATTCTTCATCACGGCGCTCCGCGGCAGCTGCTTACTGATCGAGGAAGGTTCTTTCTTTCACGTGTTGTGGATGACATTCTCCGCGCCTGCTCCACTGAGCACAAGCTTACCACCGCTTATCATCCACAGACAAATGGACTGACCGAGCGTCTGAACCGAACGCTGACGCAGATGCTGTCAATGTACCTTACGCCAGATCACCGTGACTGGGACAAAGAACTTTCCTTTGTCACGTTCGCGTACAATTCTTCACGGCACGACACAGCTAGTTATTCGCCGTTTTATTTGCTATTTGGCCAACATCCAGCATTACCATTTGACACGCTCCCTCCTTCGGCTGCCCCCTTGTCTACTGAGTACGTTAGCGATGTCATTTCTCGAGCCCATGCAGCCCGTCAGCTTGCCCGTGATCGGCTGCACTTGTCGCAAGCGCACCAAAAAGACCGCTATGACAGTCGCCACCAAAGCGTCCACTTCTCGCCAGGGTCTCTGGTACTTCTGTAGACACCAAACCGCCAAGTCGGCTTATCAGAGAAGCTACTATCACACTACCATGGCCCCTACAAAGTGTTACGACAACTTAGTGACGTGAGCTACGAGATCGCACCCCTAAACAATGCCTCTTCGACCACCTCACTCCACACAGACGTTGTACACGTTTCCAGACTGAAACCGTATCACCCTCCTCGTTCGTCGCCGCCGTACTAAGCGCCGTGACCGTGCTTTCGCCGCAGGGGAGTGATGTTACGGTGCATCATCGACAGGAGCAAGCGTGGCACTTAGCGAAGATGAAGAAGACGCCTGTGCGTTAGGCGCTTGCGCGAGAGGTAACTCAGACATCTTGTTCGGCTGCTGATTCTCGGTGGACGCTATCCTGTAAACCAAGACCTCGCCCCGTCACAATATAATTGCACAATCTGAACGAAAACAAACACAGCAGTTCCCATGAAAAGGCTATGTATCATATACACACGTGTCAATACACACGTGTCATATACACAAGTTTCCATATACAGACGTGTCAATATGATATATAATGCATAACGGATCAAACTGGTACGAAAGGGTAAACGATGTCACGAATATTTATAAGAACAATGATGCAAAACTTTTTTGTTCAGCCTCAAATCGTGGTTCTTCGTACTTATGACCACTATTATACATACAAAATCCGAAGATTTTGTTCTGAGATGACCCCGGATTTAAGGGCAGTGCGCCTGAGGAGAGACAGCAGCACATGTCGATGCTGCCATCTATTCCAGCCAAAAAAATTGCCCGCAGCTTCCCTGGGGGAACACTGAGGAGGATGCGGAGCATATAATTGGTTAACGGGGTGTTAAAGTGCGACATACTTGGGTCGATGGCTAAATTGGTTAACGTGGTTGTGAAATGGGGTGTTAAATTGCGACTTACTTGGGTCGATGGCTAAATTGGTTAATGTGGTTGTAGGAGGGGGTGTTAAATGAGTGAACACGTACACACGTATGCGAAAGGGCGGCGCTGGTCGAAGGGACGTCGATCATTGTGTTTGTGGATTCGTTGGAATTCATTTCACCGCGACCTTGGACGTCGACGCGCCGTACAAACCAACCGACGAGCGGCAACTGAGCGAGCGAGCGCCGACCATGAGTATATATACAGCGCGACGGCGCATGCACTGTCAGCTGTCGAATGTTCGAGAAGGGGGAGAAGCGCAACGGCGTATGCGCGCGCGTCAGCTGCCGATGTTCTCGAAGCGCGACGGCGCATGCGCGCGCGTCAGCTGCCGATGTTCTCGAAGCGTGACGGCGCATGCGCGCTACATTATACAGCTAGCGAATGTTCGTGAAGAGGAGAAGCGCACGCGGTGTGTAGAGGAGGAAGGGTGCACAGATGGTGGAGGAGTGAAGCGCGCGCGGTGTGTAGAGGAGGAAGGGATGCACAGATGGTGGACGAAGGAGGAGGAAGCTTGCGGACGGCGCCGCACTACAAGCCTCGAGTATTAGATGATCCGCATCTAAAAGAACCGATGTCCTCGAACCACGCACCATTCCTTGTTCTCCTTTCTGGCGGCCGCCGTGGTTTCTCTTGCTAACGCCAGTTCAAGCACTCTTATCCGCATTTTTCAAGCGTTTAGTTTCTTTTTGATATTAAATACGATAGCCTTTTTTGGGATACTCCAACGTAAATATTTTCGTCTGTCTGTCGGGCTGTTAATGTCTGTCGAACAATTCAGCCACCCTGTGAAAGTCTACGCCCGTGCTCATAGCCCGCACATCTCGATCTGGCGGCTGCGTTTATGTTTGTGAATATTGTCAATCAAAAAGCAAATATTGCGCATAATTGAGGCGCGACATCAATGCGTAAGTGTTGGGCAGCGTGTCGTTTTAATTCATGAAATGCACAGATAGGTAATTCTAAAGTCCTAAGTGTTTATTACACTGTGCCTGCAATTGGACGCTACAAACGAAAAAGTGGGTTTTTCTTACGCTTCGCTAAAACAAAGTTAGAGGCTTTAGCGACCCAGTTTCTCTGCGTTCTAATTAAAACAAACATTCGTTCCTTCGAATTACTGCCAGATGGCATCATATATCATACACTGCCTCCAGACATAAGACATCGTCTTTCGACTGCCTTTGCAGCGAAACACAAATTACGCGTCCAATTGCAAATAAAAACTATTAGCATGGACGTAATGAAGTCCGTGAAAGAGAAGTGTGCTCAAAATCAGTACTCTTGGTAATTTGTAGTCGTCTTTCTTGCCCTTCTTGTCGTTTTTTTTTATTTTATACCTAACATGTACATTCGTTCAGTCAACTTAGCTGACACAATTGCTCTCCTCCGAAATTCAGACGAAGACGCTTCAATCTGTGAGGAACCTCGAGAGGGCAACTGTTCAAAACCACAGTACCCTTATAAGACGCAGTACTTCTATAACATAACAAGCCAAACTTGCGAAACATACAATATCTGCACAAGCGTCGGAGTATTCCCGACAGTCAACTCATTCAACTCGAAGACGCTTTGTGTACTCCAATGCGGGTGAGTATGTACTGGCTTACTAAATAAATTGTTTTTTTTTCAATGAATTGAAGCGTTCGATATGCATCGTGCAATATTATGGCGTACATTTGAAAGCAATTCACTCTTGCGGGCTTGCAGATCACTATGTATAAAAGAAGTAAGTACCTTAGGGTTGATACGCGTGACTTGCGCAGGATACGAAAAAAATACGTTTGAGAGAAGCGGCCGCACTAATGAGTTTATATTCTGAAGCGAAACTTCCACCCATCTTGCCCAACACGTGCACCTGGAATGTCGCAAATGCTGTTGAAAATAAACTGTTAAATCGCACTGAAGGTATAAGGAATTACGAGTACTATCTGTAAAGAAACACTTTTCGAGGTACTTTAGACCATGTTATAAGCAACAGCAATGGGGCAGAGTACCTGAATTTGTTAGATATTCTTTCTGATGTGTCAGCAATCGTACTGGTACAGCTTAAACTCTTGGGAACGTATCGATTTTCGAGGCATTACATATAAGAGCGTAATAAATATTGCATGTTATTTTGTAATAAATGATCAAGTGCAACCCTCCTGTCAGAAAGGACAAAGGTCAACGGAGTTGGCGAAGGGGCTTTGGCTTCATCATACTTCTTGCTATGCTTCCCTTAGCTAAACTGGTTCTTGACCATTGCGATAGAAGAGCTAAGCTCAATTGATATATTCGCTGTGAAAAATCACTAAGGAAGCGCCATGCCCCATTTATTTTTCTGCGAACGAAAAGAACCGCTCAAGCGAGTGAGCGGAGACCGCAAGTTCGGAAACAGTTCTGAACAGGGCAGCCGTTCTCGCGGTGTCCAAAGCTTATGGATGTTCGATTCACCTGAGGGCTTTCAGATACAAAAAAAAAGAAGTTATTTGTGACGTCATGGCGTGCTTGACCACATTGGCACGCCGAACTTTCCAGCACATTCCCAGCGTAAAAGGAAACTAAGTAGATGAAAAGCCGAGTAACATAATTCGTAAACAAACTTGACAAGTCTGAACGTGCTCGTACAAATGTGTTGAGACGTTTGAAGAGCGATGCAAAGAATGCGTACAGACCTTTCAGGGGCGTCAGGTGGGCGGCCACGTTGAACTCAATTCAAGGGCTAACGTGATAAGAATCTATGCACGGCTTCCGATATGTGCGTCCAAACGCAAATCTTTGGGGGCACCATTCGTTGTGGCGAAACCCATTCCGCCATTCTAATTTGTGTCCAGACTTCTGAAAGCTACGTTGCGTACAAAATGACGTTGCGGAAAAAGACCGGAAACAGGCGGCGCGCTCCAGCCAATCAGGTAAGGCCGAATCGGACATGTCCAAAAATAGGACACCGTGAAAATATGGAGTTTTAGAATAGCGCACCGCAAGCCCTTGCGGTGCGGTCACTGCCACTGCACATGCGTCGTAACGCAAGCCACTGTTCGCGTTCGCGATGTTCACACCTACAGCATGGTGTTCATCGAATATTGCAATGCTAAGGTAGAGCTGGAGAAGAGTCGCACAAACAAAGGGATATTGATACATCAATGATCACGATAATAATAACAGCATTGAATACAATAATGAAAATAATTGATTTCGTTGCCCAAACAGCAATGACATTACAAGACAAACTATGAGATGCGATATCCGGATTAATTTCGACAGCCTCATGACATTCATTAAGATGCACCTAAAGCTGACTGCACTTGTGTTTCTACAGGGCACCAACAGCGGCCCTGTAAAAAGGCATTGCCGGTTCCAAACCTGCGCTCTGAAATTTGGCATCCTGGCACCGAAGCTGTTAATGCCAAGCGGTTGATAATTATTTCTTGAAATATTCCACGTGTGAATATACGCAGTGCGTCCCAAATATCAAGCAGGGCGATATAAATAAACAATAACGTCGTTGCGTGAAGAGCACTAAGTGTATACTGTCTACATTGTACTGTATGCATCAACTGATACTAAACTTTTTCTTCATAAAGCTTTGTTAATGAGCCGCGATTATGTTTCAAACTCAGCAAGTACCCGCCTAATCATTAAACTGTAGATGATTCATATGTGGGTATGCTCAAACGACATCTATCTGTGCTATTTGCAACAACGTACTAATTACGTACTCATTTTTTTTTCTGGTTGATAAAGAACGCGAAATATCAAAGAATAACAGGAACCACACTCACACCTGCTAACCGTGGGAGCGTAGTCTTCACTTGCTTCCTCACAGTGATCCCCTTTGTGCTGGCTGCTTCCTGATGCGCTTCTGTTTGTCACGTGTCATTTTTTTTTTTCAGATTTCATGGGCTTTCTGATTTAGCCAAAAAAAAAGAGAGCACACGATTGCTACGCTGTGGAAACTAGCACAGTCAGATGTCATTTCAACACGCCTGCGGATGCCTATTTGATATTTTAATGATTAGGCGAGTATTTATAGAGTTAGAAACATGTAGATAACTAATTAACTAAGTTTAGTTAGTAGTGGGTACTAGAGTATAATGAGAACAATATGCACTAGGTGTATGTGCGTGACGACATTCCTGTTTTTTTTATAATCCTGCTGCTTTATATTTGGGACATCCTGTACACTCACCATGCTTTCGACTGCGGTGTTAGAGTAAAACTAGAATGCCATACTGATATACGTTCTTTTTTTCTTCGCAGCGGCTTTACTCTAAACAACACCAAGAGCGGACGTAAGTTTTGATTCTACTACTCCAGTGTTTGACTTAATGCTATGATCCAACGTCACACGAAAACAAGATAACTCGTAGGCTTGGCTTACAGCAAAAACTCTTGTATAGTCGGCTACTCGCTAGTTACCTGGCATTAAATTGATCGCCACAATGCATGGTACCGGCCAGATTCTGATTGAAAGTGAGTGCTGTTCCCATATTTATAATTGCTTAGTTTTATGTGCCTGCATTTCTCGCCTGAGATGTGAAGCTTTTTCATGTTCTAAATAAGATTCTTGTTGATGGCTTTTGCCAGCTTTCAATGCCTCTCGAAAGTTTTTGTGATTTAATTATTGTTATTACTAAATTTCAACATCGTGCTTTTTCCATTTCAGGAAGTGATGGGCGCCAACTTCTCGCTGTAAGTAATTGCGCTTATTTGTATATATATATATATATATATATATATATATATATATATATATATATATATATATATATATATATATATATATATATATATATATATATATATATATATATATATATATACATATATATATATATATATATATGTGTGTGTGTGTGTGTGTGTGTGTGTGTGTGTGTGTGTGTGTGTGTGTGTGTGTGTGTGTGTGTGTGTGTGTGTGTGTGTGTGTGTGTGTGTGTGTGTGTGTGTGTGTGTGTGTGTGACGTATCAAGTGATGGTTAGTAGAGGTAGAGAAGGAAGAAGTCAGAATGGAATAAACATGGCGTATGAGCCAGGCCACGTCACCAAGTCATCGTAGCGTCACACAAGTCGACAGGATGGAGACCTGCCTGCCCCTTCATCAGTCACTCATCATCGATGCAGTTCCCCAGAAGACGCCCTGACCATACATTGACTACCGAATCATCGCCTAGGAGGACAACGACCAGCACCATGACAGAACCATCGGCTGACCTCGACATCCCCAAGTACACCGGATCAGCCGACGGACCCGTGCAGGACTGGTTCAACCTGTTCGAACTCCACGCTTCCGCTGCATCTTGGTCGGAACGGGAGAGGGTTACGAACTTCAGCGACTACGTCACCGGTGAGGTATTTGAATTTTACTTTATTCACATATTCGAGAACGACGGGTCATGGCAAAAAATCAAAGAGGAGATGATTACCCGTTTTAATGACTATGACCAAGACTTACTCATTGCCAACCATCTAGAGACAACTGCACACTATCGTCAATTTCCCAAGCAGTCCTCAAGCATTCGAAAGTCCAGCGCGAATCGATAAGTGCCTCAAGACAAAGTGGCACATGCGTTTACTTACAGAAGGCCATGCATACATTGGGGAAAACCCAACCGTCAAGCGCGTCTCCCTTGTACACGAAAGTCGGCATTTCCGAAGTCGTCGCTTCAGCATATTACACGAGACGTTGCTGAACCACCTGATGCCCTGCACTCTTCGTCTCGCATACGGGGTCCACCACCTGGGTTTTCATCACGTGAATTTTCAAGCGCTCCTATCGCTCACCATTCGCCTCATAAGGACGCCGCGACCTCGGTAGACGACCTAACGCTTCACGAAAATACCTTGTCAAGCCATGCTCTTTCCGGACATGTTCATTCATCACCGTGCGGTGCACACACACTGGACAGTCGAAGCAAAGCAGAAGGCTCAGGCGCATCGAACGTCGCACGCTACCAGGCGCGAGAACTACTCGCAGTGAACAGCGAAAAAGAAGCCCCTGAAGAGCTTCGTGTCATTTCTACGGCACCGCAGACTTGCCAAAATCTGCAGTTCAAACCTAGTAATTCCATGTCACCTGTGGTGCCCACATGCAGAGCTCACCAATTCATGAATCGAACAAATTCAGAAGTGCATGATACATCAAACCTCGTACACAGTTGTCTTTCGGAAGCGCCCTTAATGAACCCCGTCACCGAAGCCTCTGAAGAGCATGCTAGCAATGATGACGCATTGCCAACTATGCCCGACAAGCAAGACACCAGTTCACCATTCATCAGCTGTCTACAGGATGCGTCAAACACCGAACAAAATTAATGCCCCATTCTGGAACGGGTGCCACTACAGCCATCTCCTGAGCAGCACCAGCAAAGCAAGCGAAACGAAGTTCACAAACTCAGAAAACAACGAGAGAGACTGCAACGAGGGCATCGGCGAACGCCAAATGCAATGGAAGCGCGTTTACCAGTTGAAGAATATCGAAAAATAAGATCTCCAAACCAACAAGACGTCAGACACTTTCGGACAAAGAAAAGTCGCCAGAAACGCTCCCAGCGCCTGCTATTCCGCCGACTGCAACACCACAGGAAGCGCCGAGCCAGACGCGGAAGCACTGCTTTCAAGCCGCAAGCACTCAAACACTCCGTCACAGTCTGTCGAGAAGCACGCAAGCAAGAAGCATCGGAATTGCACCATTCACGGCCAAAAATACAACCCGGACGACATCCGAGCTGCCGATGCAACAAGGCGTTTCAACCTTGGTCAGCCCGAACAAGAGTTCTAGCAGTACTGTCAGTATCCACGTGTATCCCGCTCTGTCCGGAACGCAACAGTCAGCCTCGCCCACCAGAGTTGTTATAGAGTTCACCGAACTGAACCCTCGGGCTTGAAGATATAAAGAGACTGTGGAACTCCGTCGGAACGTGATACTGCGAATTTGGACATTGTCTGTTTATTGGCTTCTTCAATTTTTTGTAGGTTATAAACGATGCCACCGTGACGTATCAAGTGATGGTTAGTAGAGGTAGAGAAGGAAGAAGTCAGAATGGAATAAACATGGCGTATGAGCAAGGCCACGTCACCCAGTCATCGTAGCGTCATATATATATATATATATATATATATATATATATATATATATATATATATATATATATATATATATATATATATATATATATATATATATATATATTTATTATTTATTTGTATGTGTGTGTGTTTGGGTCAATATATATATATATATATTATATAAAGTAGCTACGCTGTATTCCTAGGTTCCTATAATGTCCCCGAAAACAATTTCACAATGAATCACAGCAAATTGTTGCAATTCATGATAAGTAATATATGCGCTACATTACAACAGCTGTACGGCCAGCATACGTAGTGGTAATGGCATGACGCGGCATGCAAAAGTTTGCGTAATTAATGTGGCACAAAACTTCGTAATACCAGCACACCGAACGCAACCCTGTGAGTATTGTAGTAAAGGCATGACGTAGTTTACACTCGGCGAGTAAATCTTAAGAGACTGCGAAGTAATTTAACCGGCCCTTCGTGGTGATGCCAGCTATTCCGTTGGTGTAGAGAGAGCCGAGTAAAACCACCGCCGGTCACAGGCCTTGCAATAATGTTGAAACCCTAGCGCCAGAAACTAACGTGCAAACCTGGCTGACTCCCCCTCACCAGAAGCCGGGATCTTTCGTCGCTCGTATTCGGCTCGCGCCACACCGGCCAAACTCGGCGCGTCAGCTGTACGCGCTGCCTCCGGCGGTGGGCGTGGCTTCAGCATGGCTGCATCTCAGTGCAAGCGGGGCTAGATGAGTGGCGCGGAGGGTTTTTAGCCAATGGCGGACGTTTTAACACGAGGCTTAAGAGCTTCGCTCTTAGTAACTTACATCAGCGAAAACACACATAGACACTGAAAGAAAGAACCACCATACACCAGCCCCCTCCCCTCTTTCATGGAAGAACGATGAAAGTTCCTAGAATTAAAGCTTTTTAATTGCTGCACAACTGATTATACGCTTAATGGTTGGGGTCCAGACCCCCAAGATCTCAGAGAAAAGAACAATGGCTACTCACAGTGAAATTTGTGCAGCATAAAAGTCGATAGAAACCATCGTGAGTTGCGCAACTATACAGGACACATGAGAAGGAATAGACGAGAACAGACGCACACTACCAACTGAGTTTCTGGAAGGCCCAACAATCAACTCTTGTAAAAGGGCATGTTTCTGGTACGCGAACAACGCGTATGCCCCACATCCAGTCGTGTTGGAGTTGAAATGGTTGTTACATATCTATTCAGATTTGTATAATGGAGACGCTATATTTTTCTGCTCTCTGTCTGGCGAAAGTAAAATACCTTGCAAGAGCTATATGATGATTCGAGGGTTGGGGGATATTTCTGTAATGTGTGGCGTGTATGTGTTCACGTAGTTCACAAGCGTACTTCCAAATTGTTACCGCGAAACAAGGTTTACATTGGTTTACACACTGCCTTCCATACTGAAAAAATAGAAAGTGGCGCCATCCGCAACGTGTCCGCTTCACTAGATGCAATGTTTTGCCCAGTGCGATATTAAAACCTTTTCCGTTGATTAGCGCTGGTATATTTTTCTGCAGTTAGCCGCTCGGATACTTTAGATATACTAAACTTTGCTAATCAGTTTTTAACGTGTCATATGCATCACACAGACTCAGTTATAAGTTATAAAAAAACGACGAAGCAAATCATGAGACATGATAAAGTTGAGTTATATTGCAAATGCACAGTGGGGACCCGTTATAACAAATACTGATACCAACTTCGTTAGCTGACACTTCCTTTCAACGGCATTTATTGCATAGGCAAACTAAAAACGTGGGTGGCGTGGCTATATCTATACATAACGAATAAATTCTTGTATTACACGAGGCTCTGAAAAATGCGGTATAAAAAGGAAAATATTTCATAAATATTTCGTACATATTTCGCAAATCTAGAGTATATTTGATGACACATGGTCCAACATTTAAAATGTATTTAAAAGTGTAGTTACATCTTGATTCAAATATAGGTGAACGCAGGCCTGTTTTTTTTTTTTTCGCCTGAAAAGTTGGGAGTCAGCGCTCGTGTCATCTGTTTTTTAGTTATTCGTGTGTACCGCGCTGCACATTTAGCCGAACATGTTAACTTACCAACTCTGCCAGCTTTTGTGTTGACTTATTCTGAAATGTTACATGACAGGTCAGGATTTTCTTGCTTATGATGTGTTTCTATCCAAGACTAATTCATTTTAGTGTGCAGAAATTTTGTGCAAATAAAGGTATTGATTTGAAAGTCGTAATTGCTGCTTAGGCTACTCCAGCATTATAGTGTATAACAAAATGACTTACAGTTCTCAAGTAAGATTGTTGTAGCTTGGCTCCAGTGCATATCGCTGAACAGAAGGCTGTTGTTCTGCAGCGAGTACAGCAGAATAGCTAGTTACAAATGCGGAGAACACTACACTTGCTTCATTTTCAGTTGCTAGATACCGATCAAAACATCTGGATAACTAGGAGAAGTTATAACAACAGTTCTCTTGTTCTAAGCGAATTCTGCATTAAGTATCGAAAACGTACGTTGGAGAAATCAGAAATCGTGGGCCCCTACCCTTATGATTACGACTACGAGTTCTTTTACGAATGGGTCACCGACCAAAGAACGTAAGTGCATACGCTTTTTATTCTGCTCGCGAAAATTATTAAACACTTAGACAAGCTCGTCACACCTAATGGCCCTACCCTAGCGTCGATAAACCTAATCGGTAACACTGGCCTGAGACAATATTGGCGCGAAAGCGATACGCTTTCCCAGCCTAGGCAACGCAGCTTCCTCGTTGATTACCTTCCTTCCCCGCGCACTAAAATTCTGAGGTGAGGACTCTCAGCTGTCACTCAAAGCAAGTGGATCCACATAAGAGTTCTTATTCGTAATAAATTTCTCTCTTTCTCACCAGTTGTTTGCCTCCCTCTCGCTTTCGGCAATAGTCTGAACGCAATTGCACGATATGCCCAATTGTTCAGCTCCTTAATCAATGTGACGTCAGTCCCACTTCAGATAAAGGTTTAGACATAGATTCATAAAATGTGTCAGTTGGAGTAACTTTTTCTGAAAAAAGAGGCAAGCATGATTGTGTGGTAGCGACAACAATATGGTTGGTCCCGTCACCTACTGACCTCATTCACATAAAAAACAGTTCCTACAACGAGGGACAAGAAAATAAGGAGACAGACAGCGGCACTGACTACCAACAAGATTTATTTGCTTGAACCGCGCAATATATACTTGAGAAGTATCTTACAAATAAGAGGAATGACAAACCAAAGAAAACAGAATTCACCTAACAACCGAATAATCATCGTGATAACGCGCCATGAACATCGCATGTGCCAACCTTCTGAAGAAAATCTATTTCTTCTTGTGATAGAGTAATTGAAGGCCTGTTGACAAATAGATTGCCCAGCCTTTCTATTTCTGCCACTTCACAAATTTCGCCTATCATCTGATCCCATTGCCGCCTAATGACCGTACAATTCTGAAAGTCGGGGACACAACCGCAGTCCTGGCAATGAATTCTGAGGTGGCCTGATACTGTAGAAGAGACATTGTGAGCGTGCTCTTTCAGCCGCTCATTTAAACACCTGCCTCTTTGTATTACTTGGTTGTTAGTCGAATTCTCTTTTCTGTGTTTTGTCATTCCTCCGATTTGTCTGTTACTGCTCAAGTATATATTGCGCGGTTCAAGCAAATGAATCTCGTTGTAAGTCAGTACCACTGTCTGTCTCTTTTTTTTTTTTGTCCCTCATTACTGGCGCTGTTTTTTTATGTGAATAATGTCGTACGAACTTGTCCAAGCAAGCACGTTAGCTGCTAACCTCATTACGAGGAGATAATTACCTCATTCGAGGTTAACAAGTTGCACCATCATACCTTTTTGCATACGATGCTACACAGCTCCACGTGAGGGTCACGTTCAATTGTCGTCTACGGCGTGTGTATTTCTCTAGGGCCAAAATGCTAAAGTTTGCAACATGCAAGTTAAAGAGCCCTAAAAGACCAAAATTGTTTTGCGGTCACCCTAATAGTGCGCCTCACATTCATGCGGTCGTTTTGGTGTGCGTATTATGAGCTTTCAATTTCTTAACGCATGCCAAAATAGCGAGGGTTAATTGGCACTGAAGTACCGCTAGAAGTCGACAGGAAACTCCTAATTACTAGTGAAATCAACTATTGCTAAACCAATAATAATAAACTCACAAAAAGCAGTGATAAAATGATGCCCTAGACGAGAAAACGTTTTATTTTCGTGTGCGTGTGCATAATTGAAAAGAAAACTTTAGGAGAAAGAACAAGAAACCCTGCCTTCCAAGAGATCAAAGTTGTACAAAATATGACATTGATTTACTCACAAACACGCAAATCTGTGGAGATTTCATTGCTGAATATATTGTCAACAAGTATAGGTAAAGAAGGGCAAAACATTGTTGCGAAATGAAGATAGCTTCTTTATATGTGGCTAAGCCAGCTGGGAAATCTCTGCTCTAAAGAAAAAGAAGACTAAATGTGGTTTGTCGTGGACAACCAACGTGGATTTGGCCAGTTGCTCCTCCATATTAAATCTTATTTCAGGTACCGTCAGTACCAAATAAAGCGCAAACATCGATGCGCCCAGACATTTTGCACACTCGTGCTTGATACACCCGTGTGGTTTTCCGATCGTGTGCCCCATTCTTGCTTTCAATCACGTGATGTGCGCTCCTACCAGTAGTGATGAGTGTATGGCTCATACCATATCATTGCTATAGCTGAGGCCACTCATTCGACTGTTCCCGTTTCATTTACCACCAATAATACAGAACACGAAATAGTAGCGAAGATTGGCGATTGGAGCCAAAGAAGGAAGAATTAACACTCATTCACACGTTGTGTTTCACCGATTAAGCCGTTCATTCTTGTTAGCATCGCTCTGTAACAAGACTTCACTGCCACACCCACTTCTTGCTTTTATTTTTATATATTTTGGTTTTACTAACAAAAAGCTGTGAGCCAACACCATGATGTTCGTGAAGCTTTACGATAGACTAAGATTACGCTGTTAATATTGCGCTCACGATGTGAATAGTCAAGTTGGTCAATCGGCCGCGCTAACGCCTGAACCTTTGATGCCACATGTGCCAATACCGACGCGCCTCACCATAGATGACTTGATCAACTGCCGACACCCCGTTTGCCGCTATCAGTAACAGCGTGTATTGCTGCAGTTTGACGTTCTGTTTCTCGGCCACAAGTTTCGTCAAACGAAGAGTTCCATCTTGGACACTCCAACTGCAGCCTTCGGCAACGTCATGACCCCATGACACTGTTATTTTGAACAATAATATCACCACGCTCTGTGTGTATAGATGTGCACCACCATCGATGCTGAAGGCACGTGGCTTCCCGCTTATGTTATGCCATGCTTATGAGCGCCATGTTTGCGCAAGTTAGGATTATTAGCAAAAATATAGATTACATGGCGAAGGAACTACTGCAAGTGTTCCACATTAGGTGGAAAGGGGAGGCATTCCCTTTGCTGTGTTAGTGACACATCAATTGTGCCAAACGGATATCAGCAGTTCATTTTTATTAGACAGCTGAAGGGATGACATGTTCAAAATCTCTTTCTGAAGTATCTTTGCATGCTCTGTAATCTTCCTAAATTACTGCCTTTGCCATCAATTACCAGTTGGTCGTTTGGCGCAGCTCTGTCTCTTATCCTTGCTCTGTCGGGATGTTTCATGCAATGCGGTGAAAAAAACGTGTTCAGCCAACTGCACCAACAACTGGTCATGTGAAGTTAGTCTTGCAAATGTCTTGGCTGGCATGGTGTCTTTATTCTTCAGTCTCATTAGCGTCGTTGTGCTTTCAAGGAAACGTGAATAAGGGAAGGGAGCGTTATACAACGACCAAAAGTTGCAAACTATTGTAGCACCCTTAAGGAAAGCAAGTTACGAGATTTCATTTAACTGTGAATTTTGCATTTCAGGATACTCTTTTGTGTGAACATTTGTTTTGGTTGAGTAATGTGCTGAATCGAGAGGCTATGTTCTCTAAGAAGCACATACGCAGTGACAACCGTGACACGGTTAATGTTGTGTTTATGAACTCTTTTGTTTTCTGTGTTACTGAACTGGTGAATTTCTTCGTACATCTTAGTCTGCTTAATATTTCTGCTATTATCAGTGGTAATAGACTTGCGCATAACAACGAGCAAGTTGTGTTCACCTTGATTTATTCACCTGTACATAATTATTTACTTGCTTGGCAATTCCTGAACTAGTGATTTGAATCTCTATCATCTAGAATATATATGAGATACAATGTACAGAAAGAAATATTCAACAGATAAGACTTAGAGTTGAGGAAATCGGGGATAACTTCATTTTTATCTTCTCCACAAACAGGTACCAGACTCGCTATTATGGTCACATTGCCAAATATAGTAAATATTATTCTGAATACATGGACTATGTCACGGGTAAGAAATATAATAAATTATCAAACACGCGTGTGTCACTCAACATGTCTTCGTGTCCTAATGCACAAGTAACATAAAATATTCGACCATAGCCCTTATGCTTGTTTAGGTGTCTAAGGACTGTACATGGTGACTTTTGTGCTTTTAAGGCACGTTTTCAGCTTTTTAAACCTATTTATGTTGTTATTGTGTGACATAGGCATGGATCAGTGCTGTCACATCTGCTCCTGCGACTAGACCCATCGTGCTCGAACACCTGCGGGAACCTGGGCCGTTTAGCGGTTTCGGCGATGAGAGGACGAACGTGTGAGTGCTCGATACCATTGGTGCCCGACTCTTATGCTGACCAACCTGTTGTTCTACCTCAGGGGAACCACCAACGTGTGATATGAAAACCATGAAGCATAACTTGGAGTGGATCAACGTCGGACTTGTACGGGAAGCACGTCGGAAGAAATATAAACGCAAACAAAATGCTCGCTTCTTGGGCGCAAACATCCACAGAATCGTACGTGTCGTACATAGAAGATGCGCAAACATTGTGTCGCAAAGCCACTGCCAAGATGCCTGAGGCCGACAAAGTTGGGCATATTTTTAACGGGATTGTCGACGACGCCTTCAATCACCTAATATCTAAGGATTACTCGACCGTGGAGCCGTTATAAAGGAGGGCAGGCGCGTTGAGCAAGCGAAGAGCCGGCGCTTCGACGGAGCGTTTGCCCGGCTTCCCAACATAGCTGCAACGTTAACGTACCAAGATCGTGCGAGAATGCAATCACCGGCTCCCACTTTGCCAGACCAGATGACTCGAATCGTGCGCCGTATACTTGAAGCTGTGGCTCCTGCTGCAGCTTGCATCGGTGAAGCTGATATGACATTGGTTACTGTTCCCATGGTTCAGGTCATCATCCGTAAGGAACTCGCCAGCGCATAGGCATCCAATATGTGTGCGCTGTGACCAGTCCACAGCCAACCTCATGGCTTCTACCCTCGTCCTATTCCGAGCAGCGCTTTCCTCTCCGCTCTCGCCACCCTGCAGCTTGGAGGACTGCTGACAACAGACCGATCTGTTTCCGCTGTCTTCGTATCGGCAATGTACCCCGTTACTGCGACGTCCGCTGGTCCTCGCCACCTCGGACGTCGTCTGCCCCACACCACCAACTCGGTAACACCCGCTTTGCGCCGCCGACCTTGCTCTCTCCCCCAACGTCTACACAAGGCTCAGCAGTCACTCCCCGTCGCCCCGGGGTAATCAACCACGTTCTCCTCAAGGCCGTCGTCAGTCGTCACGCTCGCCGCAGACTCATCGGCCGTTTTCCCCATTTAACCCTGCCCTCGCCTATTCGAAAAACTAAACAGTGCAGCGCCCGAAGGTGACGCTGCATTGGCGACTTCCTCCACAAATCTTCTTTCTATGCTGTTGACGAGAAGTTTACTAGACGTTGATGTTGATGGTGCACCTATTTAGGCGCATCTTGACACGGGAGCACACATTTTTAGTAATGAGCGCTAACCTTCACTGCCACCTGCATAAAGTCATCACGTCTGCCGCCTCCCGCACACTCCATGCCACCGATAGAGGAACTGCTTTCGTTCACGGAATGTGCACCGCCTGTTGTTGTATAAATGATCATCCTACATCAGTTCGATTTGCCGTGATTGACCAACGTACTCGCGTACTTGACTCTGTCAAGTCATTTCGTGCTGATTGATTGTGCGACAGGTGCTTTTCAGCTTGAGTTTCCGCAGCTTGCCCATTTTCCGGGCCGACCTGCCTCTACGCTTGCGTTCTAACCATCACGCACGCTTTCCACCACAAGCTGCTACCTACGTCGTTTTGTATCGTCCACGTGATATGCCCGATGATAACAATCGCGTGTCTCCTGTTATTGACGTATTGACGGTGCGAGACGTCATCTTTTCTCACACAATTGTTCCTGTGGTTAATAATACAGTGGTCATTCCACTTCTCAACTCCACGGTGTGTTACTCAAGTGAATCCTCAAGACGTGTCTGTGGCCACCATCTCACCACTAGGCAATTTCATGATTGCTGCTTTGGACGCCAATGTTCCATCACAATGCCATGACACTTGTTTTTCTCTACCTTTTGGTGACATTGGGGTTAGATCATGAGCGATGATTATCTGGATATAATGATCTCTCCTGATCTAACCACGACGCAGTCTACAGATCTCCATCATCTACTTGCGTATTATCGCGATATTTTTTACTTCTACGACCGCCCTCTAGGCCGAACATCTAGACGTTACTCACAACATCAGCACTGGTGACGCCAATCCTATACAACGGCGTCCATATCACGTATCTCACCAGGAACGTCAAGTGATTCAGTGCGAAGTTGACAAATGATCACTAATGACGTAATAGGGCCGTCGTTCAGCCCATAAGCCTCTTTCGTCGTGTTCGTGAAAAAGAATTGAAGCTGGCGCTTTTCTGTCAATTATCGCCACTTAAAGTAACTCATAAAAGCGTCTACCACTTGTCTCGGATCGATGACACCCTCGACTGCCTCCATGGTGTACAATACTTTTCATCCATTGAGCTTCGGTAGATTTCAGTCGGCACCATAGAGCGCAAAAAAGCTGCCTTTCTGACGCCCCATGATCTCTACAACTATTAGTCATGCCATTTGGACTTGACAATGCTCCGGCAACTTTCGAATGCATGGTGACTCCCTGCTCCGTGGATATATGTGGCTCGTCTGTTCCTGTTACCGATGTGACGTCCCCGCAAACACGGACTGAACCCCGGTCCTTTCATGATGTTTTCGCTCGTTTCTTAAAGCCACGCATACAAAAAAAAGGAAAACTTTCGGTGTAACGAATGGGCATTCCGGAGTGGAATACCTGGAAGTATTATTTCTACTGTTCTCGCAGGCCCTCCCGCGCGCACACGAGGACCGGGCGGCGCCTTGTCGTCTACAGACAGTGTGACAGTGTACTGTGGCAATAATCCGCGCGCACCCTTCAGATTTGTGGCATGGGGGAGCAGCAGAGCACCTTTTGTTGGTTCGGGGAATGCGACCCTGCCGCAGCGCCTGTGGCGGGTCCGGTCTGACTTTCCGTCAGCCTCCGTGGCTCCAGGGCTCATTACTGCGTTCTGCGTGGATGGCCACCCGTGGCGTCGAATGACGAAGAAGCCGCGTTGACGGAGAATTTTGCGGGAGACACCGAGCTGCATGGAGACGTCGAGACTCGTCCTGGACATCGGCTCATCAAGTACCAGAAACCGGGGCAACTGGTTCGGCCGAAAACATTTTGGCACAACACAGCAAACTCCGGACGTTGGCCATTACGGACGACGCACTTTGTCGGAAGCATCGGGACCATTGTTCGCCCGTAATTAAAGTGTCTTCGGACGGCTCGCCCATCTTTCTCCCTGAGGCTTGAGTTTGAACATTGTTACTTGCTCGGTTTTGCTTGGGAGAGGGTTCTCCACTGATGTGGGCCGCGGGAACGGCCGTTGAAGATGACACACTCCGACTGACAAGAAAATATGCCGCGTCGATAGTGGCGATTGGTTTGGTGCTCCGGTAGGGCGAAGTCGGGTCCTACAAAAAGGGACTACGAGACGATACGTGAGAGTCAGAGAGACGATGCGATGAGCTCGAGATGGTAGAGAGACGGAATGGAAAAGGAAGATAACGGTGTGAAGAGATAGCAATGAGAGTCGATGAGATGATGACTGAGGCAGAGATGATATGACGAGGAATGAAAGTGAGAGATGAGAAACAAAGAAGCGAGTGATCGCGTGACGTTATGAAAGAAGATTAAGATGGAAATCGCCGAGAGAGACAACGAAGATGACGAAGACGATGAAGACTGACAACACGGACAATTCGTGAGACGAACTTTACGCACCCTATTTAGATTAGCTTTGCGGGAAGGGAGGTGGCCTGTTGAGACATTGCGTGATTTTATTCCTTGCTAACTTCATCATTTGTGTCGTCCTGTGTTTACTCTGTATTGAGGCGCCCTTGTATTGTCACCGTTACTTCGCTTATGCATCCTGTTTCGCGTGTCGCGTGTATTTGCTGACGTGTTACAATTTCGTGTAACAGAGATGCCGTTCGCGGACAGTATGTGTGTACGCCATTTGCACTTGCTATTGAATTAAATGCGTCCATGATTAAGAAAAGATCGTGACGTCGCTTACTTCCCGGCCCCAGCACGAATTCCTGTATGTGGAAAGTGATTGAGACACGTAGCCAAGAGGGAACCGGATAAAAAGGGGTTGAGTGGTCTTCCCTCTCTTTGGCAATCGGTGGCGTAGCGGGGGACGCCTCACCGAGACGATGGATGTCATCGTCTATTCCGCTACGTTCAACAGCCATCTCGCACGTCTGTCTACCGTTCTGGGTGATTGTCGCAGAGTCGCTCTTCAACTGATGTCGGCAATGTGCCATCTTGGACGGCGCAAAATCACTATGCTCGGCCACCTAGTAAGTGCTGCCGGTGTTCAACCGGACTCCGACAAGGTGAGGGCAGTGCAGGAATTACCTTTATACCATGCTCAACCAATAATGTCCACAGTTATGCAATATTATGATCCTATTTTAGTTGTTTCGTCCACAACTTCACTTACATCACCCGACCTTTTACTGATCTCTTAAGAACACCGCTACTTTCACGTGGGGCACCGAGCAAGCAGACTCTTTTTCTGCCCTTATGCATCTGCTGACTACGCCACAATGCGGGCCCATTTGGACCCTGCTTCTCATACAGAACTTCGGACCGATGCCAGTGGCCACGAAATCAGGGTCGTTATCGGTCAAAGACAGCACGGCAAGAGTCGAGTAATTGATTATGCCAGTCGTCTCCTTTCGCCGCAGGGCAGAAATCCTCCGTCACTGAACGTGAATGCTTAGCGCTAGTGCGAGTCATGACCAAAGTCAAGCCCTACCTGTATGGCGGAACGTTTTCCGTGGTCACGGAACATCATGCTCTCTGCTTGCCCTCTAAAGGACCCGTCTGGACGTCTCGGTCACTGGGCGCTACGTCTCCAGGAGTACTCGTTTGAGGTACAATTCAAGTCAGGGTGATTTGACGCAGACCAGACCATTTGTTACGTCATTCAGTTGAATAGCCCAATTTATAAGACCTTGACTCGGACCCTAGTGTGCTATCTATCTGCACTTTTGGTTGACATCGCCAATGAACAGCGGCAGGACTCATCGTCAGTGGCTATCATCCACCGTCTAACGTCCCCATCACCAGACCCGTATGTTCATCAGTTCGAACTGCATGACAACATTCCTTACCAAAACATCTTCAACGCTGAAGCCCCGGAACTACTTCTTGTCCTACCTGGCAATCCACGCAACAGTGTCCTGGAACAACACCGACTGGTGTACCGACTGCCAGTCACGTCACTCGACGCGGATATTGTACACGTTTCTAGAGTGATACCGTTTTGCCCTGCTAGCTCTTCGTTGCCTTAGCAAGCGCCGAGAAGGCACTACCACTGCGGAAGGGTGATGTTATGGTACGGCAAGGATATGAATGAGTCCGGTGGTCATCGAAGGTGAAGACAACGAGTAAACGTGCAGCGCTTGCGCGTGGTACTCGTCGTCTAGCTGAAGATCCACTGTGTGAATAAACCTACATCTCACCTTCGTCACATTATGTTGAACAAACACTAATTTCTTGGGATATGCCTTAGGAAGCACACTTCAAACAAACACTTCAAGTGTGTTAAGTAACAAAAATATAAACTAAATTCAGCCTGAGTACAAGGATACTGCCGGACATTAAATTAAGTTTACTCGTTGATTCATTCATGTATTACCAGGAAAGGCCAATCATGCCAGCAGCAATGACCGATAATCATACCGCACGAAAAGAGTGGCTTGGATGCCACATAGCGGTGTATTTACAGGTTGTGTGACAAATTGATGTCCCAGCGTCATCATCGATATAGCGTACCCTGTATTATAGTCATACACTGTAGCCCCGAAACAAAACCCAGTATGATTTCAAAAATATGCAGTTAAATTAAATACTAATAATATCATAACATATTCTTCTTTATCAATTACCTTATTTCATTGTATAACTAACTGTGTAAGTAGCAAATGAAGACGTTCATTATACATTACGTATTTATGCAAAACTTCCGAGCTTTCGCGTAACAATTATTTTAAAAAATCAGCTATCAAGAAAAACAAGAATTAGGTTTTTTTAACTACTACTTTTTGTTTGAGAGCAGTCACAAAAAAACACCATCCATTTAAGTAAATCCACATAGAGGCGTAAAATTTTTTGCAGCGTATATCTGATTATCTGGAATTTTTAGAAAGTCAAGTATAACAGAAACGTACGTCATTTAAAAGGGTGGCGATATAAATAATACTGTGTAAGTAGCAAATAGAAAACTCCATTGTACGTTACTTATTTATGCAAAACTACCAAGCTTTCGCGTGACGATAACCTAAAAAATAAACTTTCAAAAAAAACAAGAATTAAGTTTTTTTTTAACTACAACTTTTTGTTTGAGGGCAGTCACAATATACAACGTCCATTTCTAAAATAAATCTACACAGACACGTAAATTTTTCTGCACCGTATATCTGAACATCTGGAATTTTCAGAATGTCGAATATAAGAGAAACGTACGTCATCTTAAAGGATGGCAATATAAATAAAAAGATGGTGATCATTCAAATGGGATGTATGATTCATTCGTAAAAGACAGGGCATGCAAACGAGGACACAAAGTACAGTCACGACGCATCAAACGCCGAGTATCAACTGAAAAGACGCACCACGGTGGAAAAGAAAGAAGGAACGAAAACTTTTCCCCGCAGGCCTATGCAATAGGTGAACATGGCAATCAAGCACACGTGGTTGTCTATGTGAAAATTAACTTTTAATACATTTGATTTCATCTTTATGCAAATTAATCAACAGTTGGCAAACGCATTCGCTACGACTATTACCTGTATGTAAAGCCTCATTCATTAGACGCATTTATTCAGTCTCACACTGATGCTGATACTGTTGATGCCGCCACTACGGTGCATACTGTTTATTCAATTGAGCAGCCACCCAGTAACAGCTGCCCTTAGCAATTTAGTACTCGCTGCTGCCTATGGAAAGCCGCATGCAGCCAGCAGTGGTACTCACTCGTCGGGAAAAAATAGTGCGCAACATGGACAAGAAGGTACGAGCATGTCAAAGTCTTAAATATCAAATATGGGCTCTGTCAGAGCATTTGTATCACAGTATATTGCTTTTACTAGGCACCGTTAAAAGGCACTTCTTGGCGATCACAAACACAATAAAATTAGTTCCAGCAATGAATATTTGACCAAGTTATTTTCTAGTGAAATAGGGGCACGTACATTTAAACAATGCCTGAAAAAAGTGCACAAAATATGCCTCATGTTTTTAGACATAAAAAATACTAAAAGCAACATAAAGAACACACTAAGGCCAATATCAACGAAAGAGAAAAAATTCATAAGAGAGCTTTTTGATTTAATTAAAACAGTTTCGGCCATACTTCAATAATATGCCTACCAGCAAAAACCAACCACTGAACGCCAACACAGAGAAACACTATATTGAGATTGAACGTTTTGTTTCAGGTAATTCAAGATTACTTTAAGGTTGAATTATCACACACATTTTATTTTTAGTCTGGATATGCAACAAGGCAGAGGCACGCATTCACATTCACCCCATTCACCACCCGTAATAACACATACGAATATTTACTTTTTCCCTGAACAATTACGAATGGAATAATCATAATAACGATGTTGTTCCGCAGTTGTCTTTAAATTGTTTTACTACGCAGCTCGAGTAGTAACTGTGTGTATTGTATGTAGTAGTGCTGTTTATTTCAATCACTGCAGTGTTTATCATACGCTAGTGGTCATCTCGCATACAATGCTTATTTAATTTTATTGGATGCCCTTGTCCTTGTTTTTTGCAAGTTGTCAGTTTTTTTTTCTTTCTTGTTTCATCTTCTGAAAGCCTGTGCATACTTCCCGTTGTTATTTTAATGTGTTTGCTTATTTGTAAGCTGGACAAATATATAGCCACTCTGCTAAAACCCTTTTTGGAGGTGGCAGTATTCATGATAAATAAACTAATATAATTAAATAAGTATTTAAAAATAGTGTAGCGTTCAGTAACTCTTTAGGTTAATGAGTACTGTCTCACGTGCGGGCTACGATGAAGAAATAATCACTCAACGACCACAATGGTTCCGACAGCTGGAAGGCGAGCAAGCTCCTTGACCGGCCTTTTCTTTGATCGCGTCTTCAAAGATCGACAGTTTGCAATATTGGAACACCACAAGCGATCGCATCTTGGTTCTAACAAGCTGTAGTTAATATCAGCGTATGAATAACGCTGGGAACCTATTACTGAGACTAAGTTTTTTTTTATATTTGTATATATATATCATGAAACCTTATTTTAATGACTTACTGTAGGCTTACTAGGTCTTACTTAACGGGAGAGTATAATTTTGTATTCAGTACACATGCACAGACAATGAAGACGAGATAGCCAGTAGTTTATTTATTTATTTATTTATTTATTTGTCTAATTATTTATTTATTTATTTATTTATTTAGTTATTTTTCGCTTCGTGCTCGTGCATTTCGTCTCCCGCTAGCTGACCTTAGAAGCTCAAAAAAAAAAAACTGGCCTAATGGTGTGAGCTTTATTCTTTTTTTTTTCTGTAGATAGAGCAGCGTTGTAATACACATACAGGGGTGGGGGTCTAAAGTTCCTAGGAAAATATCTCATGTATCTATACGAAGGCGTGGCCTGAGAACATTTGACCAGGACTGTACTTTAATATACCTGGTTAGTGTCTTTCCATCGCATATATTAAGCCTACATCTCAGAAAATTTGTTTTACCTTCTAGATGAGGGGAGGGTCACGAAAAAGCTTCTATATTGGAGTCTAAAACATAAGTGTGGAATTATGAGGGCTAGTCGAAACGGTAAGTGAGAAATTATTTGTAATAAATTATAAGTTATAGAAATTTTTTCGTTTGTTGTTGTATTCCTAAAGCTGATGCGCTGGTTTATTGCCAGCCATTGTATATTTCTGAGATATACAGGTATTAACTCCGTTCTCTTTCTCGCTTACATTATGGACACATACAGTGTCTACACTCTGCTAAAAGGAATCATCTTAACTCAAGCAAGCCCCCGTATACCAACTAATATTTGTGATTTGTTATGTATTACCGACTTGCATGAAATGCTGGGGATCGTATCGATTATCTTCGCTCCTTCTAGACTTTCTCTAGGTTGCGTGCATCTCGGTGATGAACCCGCCACGGTGATCTATTGGTTACGGTGCCCGATTGCTGTGCCACAGGTCGCATGATCGAATCCCTGCTGTGGTGGTCATATTTTCGAAGGACGCGAAAGTGCTTTAGGCCCATGCAAGTAAACTTAGGTGCACGTTAAAACACCCCAGTTGGTCGAAACTGCGTCACACAACTTTCTGAGCAGCACACTGCTTTGTTTTTACATAAGAGTCATTATGATTGAGGAATGCCATAAGTCGTGGGAAAAAATTATAATCGGCACGCGCCGGCGTGCGCTCATTAATTTTTCAAACACTCGGAACAAGCACCCGGTGATTAACAACAGAAACTAAAAAGTGCGGCCCCTAATCGATATTCTGCGCCCGCGTGTTCTTCTGTTAACCTTTATGAACCAGTGCTGTGAGTTGCGGGAATCGCCAAATTTTTGTGGCACATGTGCGCTGTGCGAGTTTTATAGCAGAGCTGTTACTGTCGAGGTTACAGGCATAGGGTATTTACAACAGAACTGTGCCGGTGGTACAACGTTTTTGCGCGTTAGAACTCATCCTTTGGTACTGCGGTTTACATGTGATGACCGAGACGATGGATGTCATCGTCTATTCCGCTACGTTCAACAGCCATCTCGCACGTCTGTCTACCGTTCTGGGTGATTGTCGCAGAGTCGCTCTTCAACTGATGTCGGCAATGTGCCATCTTGGACGGCGCAAAATCACTATGCTCGGCCACCTAGTAAGTGCTGCCGGTGTTCAACCGGACTCCGACAAGGTGAGGGCAGTGCAGGAATTACCTTTATACCATGCTCAACCAATAATGTCCACAGTTATGCAATATTATGATCCTATTTTAGTTGTTTCGTCCACAACTTCACTTACATCACCCGACCTTTTACTGATCTCTTAAGACACCGCTACTTTCACGTGGGGCACCGAGCAAGCAGACTCTTTTTCTGCCCTTATGCATCTGCTGACTACGCCACAATGCGGGCCCATTTGGACCCTGCTTCTCATACAGAACTTCGGACCGATGCCAGTGGCCACGAAATCAGGGTCGTTATCGGTCAAAGACAGCACGGCAAGAGTCGAGTAATTGATTATGCCAGTCGTCTCCTTTCGCCGCAGGGCAGAAATCCTCCGTCACTGAACGTGAATGCTTAGCGCTAGTGCGAGTCATGACCAAAGTCAAGCCCTACCTGTATGGCGGAACGTTTTCCGTGGTCACGGAACATCATGCTCTCTGCTTGCCCTCTAAAGGACCCGTCTGGACGTCTCGGTCACTGGGCGCTACGTCTCCAGGAGTACTCGTTTGAGGTACAATTCAAGTCAGGGTGATTTGACGCAGACCAGACCATTTGTTACGTCATTCAGTTGAATAGCCCAATTTATAAGACCTTGACTCGGACCCTAGTGTGCTATCTATCTGCACTTTTGGTTGACATCGCCAATGAACAGCGGCAGGACTCATCGTCAGTGGCTATCATCGACCATCTAATGTCCCTATCGCCAGACCCGTATGTTCGTCAGTTCTAACTGCATGACAACATTCCTTAGCATCACATCTTCAACGCTGATGGCCCGGAACTACTTTTTGTCCTACCCTGCCATCTACGCAACAGTGTCCTGGAACAACTCTCTGGTGTACCGACTGCCAGTCACGTCACTCGACACGGATATTGTACACGTTTCTAGACTGAAACTGTATTGCCATGCTCGCTCTTCATTGCCTTAGCAAGCGCCGAGAAGGCACTTCCACCGCGGAAGGGGGATGTTATGGTGTGGCAAAGATATCAACCAGTCCGGTGGTCGCCGAAGGTGAAGACAACGAGTAAACGTGGAGCGCTTGTGCGTGGTACTTATCATCTAGCTGGCGATTTACTGTGTGAATAAACCTACATCTCTCCTTCGTCGCATTATGTTGAACACTAATTTCTTGGCATATGCCTTAGGAAGCACAATTCAAACAAACACTTCAAGCGTGTTAAGTAACAAAAATATAAACTAAAAACAGTCTGAGTACGAGGATACTGCCGGACTTTAAATTGAGTTTACTCGTTGATTCATGCATGTATTACCAGGAAAGGCAATCATGCCAGACAGCAAGACCGATAATCATACCGCACGAAAGAGTGGCTTGGAGCCACTAGCGGTGTATTTACAGGTTGTGTGACAATTGATGTCCCAGCCGTCATCATCGATATAGCGTACCCTGTATTATAGTCATACACTGTAGCCCGAAACAAAACCCATGTATGATTTCAAAAATATGCAGTTAATAATATACTAATAATATCATAACATATTTTCTTTATCAATACTTATTTCATTGTATAACTAACTGTGTAAGTAGCAAATGAATACGTTCATTATACATTACGTATTTATGCAAAACTTCCGAGCTTTCGCGTAACAATTATTTAAAAAATCAGCTATCAAGAAAAAACAAGAATTAGGTTTTTTAACTACTACTTTTTGTTTGAGAGCAGTCACAAAAAAACACCATCCATTTAAGTAAATCCACATAGAGGCGTAAATTTTTTGCAGCGTATATCTGATTATCTGGAATTTTTAGAAAGTCAAGTATATACAGAAACGTACGTCATTTAAAAGGGTGGCGATATAAATAATACTGTGTAAGTAGCAAATAGAAAACTCCATTGTACGTTACTTATTTATGCAAAACTACCAAGCTTTCGCGTGACGATAACCTAAAAATAAACTTTCAAAAAAAAAACAAGAATTAGTTTTTTTTTAACTACAACTTTTTTGTTTGAGGGCAGTCACAATATACAACGTCCATTTCTAAAATAAATCTACACAGACACGTAAATTTTCTGCACCGTATATCTGAACATCTGGAATTTTCAGAATGTCGAATATAAGAGAAACGTACGTCATCTTAAAGGATGGCAATATAAATAAAAGATGGTGATCATTCAAATGGGATGTATGATTCATTCGTAAAGACAGGGCATGCAAACGAGGACACAAGTACAGTCACGACGCATCAAACGCCGAGTAACAACTTAAAAGACGCACAACGGTGAAAAAAGATAGAAGGAACAAAAACTTTTCCCCGCAGGCCCTATGCAATAGGGGTACATATCAACCAAGCACGCGTGGTTGTCCATGTGGAAAATAACTCTTAATACATTTGATTTCATCTTTATGCAAGTTAATCGACAGTTGGCTCACGCGTTCGCTACGACTGTTACCGGTTTGTAAAGCCTCAGTCATTAGACGCATTTATTCGGTCTCACGCTGATGCTGATACTTTTGATGCCGCCATTACGGTAAATACTGTTTATTCAATTGAGCAGCCACCATGTAACAGCTGCCCTTAGCAATTTAGTACTCGCTGCTGCCTATGGAAAGCCGCATGCAGCCAGCAGTGATACTCGCTCGTCGGAAAAAATATTGCGCAACATAGACACGAAGGCACGGGCATGCCAAAGTCTTAAATAGCAAATACGGGCACCGGCAGAACATTTCTATTACAGTATATTGCTTTTAATAGGCACCATTGAAAGGCATTCTTAGGTGATCACAAATAAAATAAAATAAATTCCAGCAATGAACATTTGAGCAAGTTATTTTCTCGTGAATCAGGGGCACGTACATATAAACAATGACTGGAAAAAAATGCAATAAGTATCCCTCGTGTTTTTTAGACATATAAATTACTAAAACCTACATAAGGAACACGCTGAAGCCAATATCAACGAAATGGTAAAAATTCATAAGACAGCTGTTTGATTGATTTATAAAAGTTTCGGCCATGCTTCAATAACATTTCTATTAGCAGAAGTCAACCTCCGAACTCCAACACAGAGAAACACTGTGATGAGATTGAAATTTCATTTTAGTTAGTTAAAGGTTACTTCATGGTTGACTTATCACACATATTTCATTTTTAGACTGTATATGACACAAGGCAGAGGCACGCGTTCGCAATGACTCCATTCACCACCCGTAATAACACATTCCAATATTCATTTTTCCCCAGGACAATTACCTAATGAAATAATCTTGATAACGATGTTTTTTCGCAGTTGTATTTGAATGTTTTTATTACGATATTCCAGAAGTAACTGTGTATACAATATTATTTGTAGTAGTACTGTTTATTTCAATCACTGCAATGTTTATTCTACGCTAGTGGTCATCTTGAATACACTGCTAATATAATTTTATTGGAGACCCTTCCGCTTCTTTTTCGCTAGTTGTTATTTTTGTCTCTTTTTTTCATTTTCTGAAAGCCTGTGCATACTTTTCGTTTCTATTTTTATTGTGTTTGCTCATTTGTAAACTTGACAAATGTATACACACACTGCTAAAACCCTCTTTGATGGTGGCAGTATTCATAATAAATAAATAAATAAATAAATAAATAAATAAATAAATAAATAAATAAATAAATAAATAAATAAATAAAACTGCAGTGTTCAGTCACTCTTTAGGTTAACGAGTGCTGTCTTACGGGCGGGCTACGATGAACGAAAAATCACTCAACGGCCACAAGAATTGTGGCAGCTGGAAGACGAGCACGCTCCTTGACCAGCCTTTTCCTTGATCGCGTCTTTTAAGATCGACATTACGTGATCTTGGAACACCACAAGCGATCACATCTTGGTTCTACCGAGCTGTCGTAAATATCAGCATGTGAATAACGCTGGGAGCCTATTACTGACACAACGGTTTCTTTGTATATATCGTGAAACTTCCTTTTAATGACCTACCTTAGGCTTACTAGGTCTTACTTAACGGGAGAATATAATTTTGAATTTAGTTTACGTGCACAGAAAATGAAGACGAGATAGGCAGTAGTTATTTATTTATTTATTTATTTATTTATTTATTTATTTTTTATTTATTTATTTATTTTTTATTTATTTATTTATTTATTTATTTATTTATTTATTTATTTATTTATTTATTTATTTATTTATTTATTTATTTATTTATGGCTTAATGCTCGCGCATTCCAACTTCTTCTACTAATGATGTGGGCTTCATTCTTCTTTTCTGTAAATACAGCAGCGTCGTAGTACACATACACGGGGGGTGGGGGTCGATAGTTCCCAGGCCACTATTCTATGTATTCCTATGGAAGAATGGCCTGGGAACATTTGACCAGGACTGTACTTAAATTGACCTGGTTGGTGTCTCTCCATCGCATATTCATAGGCTACATCTCAGCAAATTCATTTTACCTTCTAGATGACGGGAGAGTCAAGAAAGAGCTTCTATATTGGAGTCTCAAAAAGAAGTGTGCAATTATGTTGGCTAGTCGAAACGGTGAGTGGGAGACCCTTTGGAAGAAATTATAAGTTATAGAATTTTTTTCGTTTGTTGTTGTATTCCTAAAGTTGATGCGCTGAATTATTGCCAGCCACTGTATATTCCTGAGACATACAGGTATTAACTCCGTTATCTTTCTCGCACACATTATGGACACATACAGCGTCTACACTCTGCTAAACGGAATCATCCTAATTCAAGCAAGCCCCCGTATACCAACTAATATTTGTGATTTGTTATGTATTACCGACTTGCATGAAATGCTGGGGATCGTATCGATTATCTTCCCTCCTTCTAGACTTTCTCTAGGTTGCGTGCATCTCGGTGATGAACCCGCCACGGTGATCTATTGGTTACGGTGCCCGATTGCTGTGCCGCAGGTCGCATGATCGAATCCCTGCTGTGGTGGTCATATTTTCGAAGGACGCGAAAGTGCTTTAGGCCCGTGCAAGTAAACTTAGGTGCACGTTAAAACACCCCAGGTGGTCGAAACTGCGTCACACAACTTTCTGAGCAGCACACTGCTTTGTTTTTACATAAGAGCCATTATGATTGAGGTATGCCATAAGTCGTGGGAAAAAATTATAATCGGCACGCGCCGGCGTGCGCTCATTCATTTTTCAAACACTCGAAACAAGCACCCGGTGATTAACAACGGAAACTAAAAAGTGCGGCCCCTAATCGATATTCTCCGCCCACGTGTTCTTCTGTTAACCTTTATGAATCAGTGCTGTGAGGTGTGGGAATCACCAAATTTCTGTGGCACATGTTATAGCAGAGCTGTTATACATATATATATATATATATATATATATATATATATATATATATATATATATATATATATATATATATATATATATATATATATATATATATATATATATATATATATATATATATATATATATATATATATATATATATATATATATATATATATATATATCATAAAAAATACACATTGGGCAGGTAAAAGCATTCAACCTCATATAAATCCCTGACCTGCTTGCAACTTCATCATCACGAGCAGCGGTAGCAACAGCTTTGAACAGCATGAACTCGCTACAATCCACCACCGTAAAGGTTCCCACTGGTTGGATTTGGAGTAAGGGACATTAGAAAGGAGCCCGAGAACCGAGCTGCAATAATTTGCACAATGCGCGACTCCTGTGCAGTGCTCTTTTCATTGCATTGTCCCTCTCAGAGACAATGGGCACGTCCCTCAGAGACACTGGGGGCCTCCGAGGGTCGCATTGATGAAAGTTCTGGTAATTCGTCCGTCAACACACCACGATGAATTCGAAACTGACGACAGGCTTACACCCTCGCTGTAAATTCCAAACATTGAGAGGTCGCTTTACCGTGAATAAATCTGTGTCCTTCAGTTACAAAAGCGCAAAAGTTACATAAAAAAGTAACGAATTTGATATCTACAAGCTTGCTAAGTTTGTCTGTGGGCCTTATCACTTCTTGCACTAAAATTCGTTGATGGTATAATATATACTCAGATAGCCGCTAGTTCAATTTTCTTGCACGTAAAAGTGTTTGTGATCCTATCGTGTAATAAATGTGCTTCGGCTGCCCAAGTTTGTCACCATTGTACTTGATGTTACCCCGCGCCTCTACGAAATGTCAAGGAAAGCCCCACGTGGCACTTAGCGAACGCGCTGGCATAGCTTTCCTTCTAACATCACCCCCATTCAACGTCGCTAAAACTGACACTTGATATAATCCCCAATTGTACATAAAACAGTCTTCTACCTGGTAAGGCACCTACCAGTCACTATATATTTGTGGTCTTTTGTTTTCTTTTTTTCTCTCTGTATCGTTCTGCCAGATCGAGTCAGTTGGTGCGAGCTACACCTTTGGGAGGAACGCCTTAGAAAGTCATACCAGAACAAAAATTACACCGACTGTCGGGAGGAGCTGTCGAAACACTGCCCGAACAATACTGAACAGGAAGTCCTTCGAGCTGATTGCCCCAACGTATTCTTTCCGGGATTTCGAAGAGTGTATTTGTAAAAAGGAAATAACGTTAATGCTATACTAATAAATAGTTTTTTTTTTTCAACAGCACAGTATCATAAGCTTTTCCTACAGCGGATTCAGTGACCAGTCACAGTAAGCAGGTATGTGTCAAGCAGCTCGTCGCACAGAATAGGCATGCATAATATTGCAAAGTTTGAGATTGTGCTGGTTGGTAATTCATCTTCAACATAATGAATGAATGAAACCATGTTTATTCCACTTTGTTCGCGCCGAAGGCGCTGCGGTGGACAGTCAGGGCACTATAGCAGGGGGGGGGGGGGGGTAGAGCTGCCTCCGTTTTATTACCGGACGTCATGGAGGCAGCTAAGTGGGGGCCGCTTTGAATGGCTTGAATCTTGTGGCTGTCGCGGAGCCGGTCGCCAACCGGTGGCGCGGCCGGGTCCTGGAGGAACATGATGAGTGCTCGCCAGAACTCGATGGCGCGATCAGGGGGCGAAGGCTCCGGGCAGGCCCATGTCCGGAGAGAAGAAGGCCAGGGTCCCCGTTTTATGGTGGCCAGGGCACGGAGCCTAGGCGGGTTGTACACAGGGCACTCCCAGCACAAGTGGTTGAGATCAGCCCGGCAGTTGCACGTGGAGCAGAGACCTGTCACGGGTGGTGGCGTGTCACCCCTGTGGAAACGGTTCAGCAAGAAAGGGGTAAGGAGTGTTCCTGCCTGAATTCTCCGAAGCAGGACAGACTCTCTCCGTGTGAATACCTTCGAAGGAAGCAATGGTATCGAGAGTGGATTACCCACTGCTGTGAGGTAGGCGGCGCGACGTTGTTTGGTAATGTGCTTATCTGCTATCGGATCTGCTAGCTCGGGTGGGGTAGCCAGAAAAGTGGAAGGAGTATCGGAAGCTCTGGCTAGCGCGGTGAGGAGATGAGCGCGCGCTAATCTGTGAGCCTTCTCGTTTCCGGGGATACCGCAATGCCCGGGGACCCAGTGGATGGTAACGTCATGACCACATTCGCGGAGCAGGCGCGTCTGGTGTCGGATCTTCTGGAGTACAGGATCTGTGTAAAGAACATTAGCGCATGCCCGATGGGCAGCCTGGGAATCAGTGTACACACGATGGTGAACAGGGTCAGTTTGAGGTGACATTTCGAGGGCCCACTCCAAATAATCTAAGATGCCCACTAGCTCTGCTCGAGTGCTATACATCGCATCTGCTGAAGCATGATAACGTCGGCTCTGATTTCTGTTTGTCTGGTCGTACCACGCAGTGGCATAACAAGTGTTACTGGTGCCGTCTGCAGGAAGTGCAGCGTCAGTGTATACGACGCGTTCAGTCATGGGGAGTGAACTCGTGGCCCTAGCATGTCTCTTGGCGTAGTTAAGGCGCCGTGCTCGCTGATTAGGGTCCATATTCAACGGAAGTGGCTTGCCGTCGGTGAGTACCGTGATTTCCCAAGGCGGCGTTTTGTTAGGCAGCATGGGCAGTGTGTTGATGTCATACCCGAGAAGCATAAGCGTGTATCGCCCGGCATTTGTTGCGCGAAGCCTCGTTTCCTGTGTGTGGATGTGCATGTCGATGAGCTCGGTCAGATTATTGAGCTTGCTGCAGCTCTTGAGCGCATCCAGGCGTGTGTACCTTGGTAGTCCGGTAACCATGCGTTTGGCCTCGTTAAGCAGCCGGTCGAGTTTGATTATCTGCGTACGGTTGACCGGATGATACGGCAGTCCATACATGATACGTGAGACGAGAAAAGCTTGAACAAACTGCCGCATTTCGCGTTCGTTTACTCCACGAGTGCGATTAGAGATTCTGCGTAAAGCATGAAGGACATCTTCAACATACAGCGCATAAAGGGCAAATGACAATAAATGAAACAGGTACAAGCGTACACTTCAAGCAGGAAGTTTATTCGGCATAAATATTGTTGATCCCTCCTTCAAAGGAGTCGGCGAAACATGACAGTAAAGCATGTATTTACAGAAGTAGTCCAATGCTCACTGAAGTACACTGTCGTTCTTTATGACAGGGAAACACGCGAACACGTGGCCAGCGCTCTGCGGCGGCTGCCTACAGCACCATCAACCGACAAGTGAAGAAGGCACGTTCGCTTTTTTGCGTCATCTATGGCCAAGCAAGATAACGAGTTATTGCCGGTAGACAAGCGCTGCTGGGTTCCATTCCCTGATTGCTCGCGCGGTGAGCGATTTCGGGTGATTACTGCAGCTTGTGCCATGGTTGCGAACAACGTTTGATATGTTGGCAGTGGACTACGTACTTCAGGCGTGAGCAGAAAGAGAGTGCAATCTATCAGCGCTTGTCTACCGGCCATAACTCGTTATTATTTTTCTCGGCAACAGATGTCGCTGAAAACAAACGTATTTCCTTTTGCTGTCGGTTTATGGCGCTGTATGCAGCCACCGCAGAGCGCAGGCCACTCGTTCGCATGTTCCCTTTCATAAAGGACGACAGTGTACATTGATGTAAGGGAGCTTGCATAATAACTATTTGGGTTCGGCTGCTATAGCACCGTTTCACGTGGATGCACCAACGGTGACGCTTCGGGGTGCATCTATAAAGCGACAACCCACGCCCATGACCAATGATTTAACAAACCTTTGCTGTAGGTGTTCACGCTGAGGGCATAATCAGCGAAAGTAGTGTGGCAGCTTGAAGAGCGACGCTGATTGAACGCAAAACTTGGGCTGCGGTCGCAATCCCGCAGCATGTTAACGAGTTTATATAAACACTATGGCCGGACGGCAGGGAAACGGCACGTGCGTCGGGTCTTCACGATGGCCTGGCCGCGGTTTTTCTCGAGGCGAGCGTAAGTGGGAAACGCGGTGTTACTTTCAGATGAGGCGTGGCTGTGCGTCCCAGGTTTATTTTGGGGGCGGAGCTCTCTATGCCGTGGGTGGTTTGTCCGCGATGTACGCTGCAGTTGTATTAGTAGTAGGCAGCCACCTCTACTTCTGGACTGCGGCACGCGCGTACCTTTTTAAATTGCGAAGGAAGCCTGCGCACGTTAATCATCAATAAAAAGATGGTTATTTCTGATGAAATAACTCACAGAGATGAGTAATAGTGATTTAACCGCTAATAAAATTTGCCTTGAATTTGAAGCTTACTAAAAAATTAGTATCAGAATGACGCAATTCGAGTAGTACCTGACCAGAAAGGGTTGCCATTTTAAACTCGCTAGGTGTAACGTCCTTGGTTTTAGCAAAGTGGACGAAACCGACTCCGTGGCCCATGGGTTCTCCCCTAGTGGAGTAGGTCATACTCTCAATCGTTACCCACTTCTTCTAAACACACAGGTTTAGCGAGGCCTGGTTGGACCGCAGTGCCATGAATATAGTGAACTAGTATATAGCCTGAACTAGAGGCGGTGAAATGCGGAAAGTAGACACGAAGAGCAGGCCATATGAAAGTGCGCGAATGCCATCTCTCGTTTAGTCTTTGGAATGTCCGCTGGATGGCGGTACTTCTATATGCTGAATATATGATGAAAAGATGCGAGATGACGGTACTTTAATTGTTCACTAGATGGAGGGACAGATGCCCAGACAGACGAACGGATAGACGCATGGATAAACAGACGCTTAGACGAACGCAGGAACGGACGCAGGGATGGATGTACAGGCGGATGGACGGATGGACGAATGGACGCGCGTACGGACGGTTTACAGATGAACGCATGGACGCACGGACGCTTCGCCCCAGTCATCATCATGCACTCCGTGAATATGCTGTGATTTTTTTATTATGAGTGGATTCCATTAGCGGGGCCAGAGCTTGGAATAAGGTTGCCCCCTAGATGTGTCAAAGCACTGATAAATTTCCCTCTACATATTGTAAACATGCCGGATGGGATGGCCGCATAGCAACGATGCTGCGCTGGAGAAGCGGATAACAAAACCTGCCGCTCGCGAAAATTGTGGGTTACGGCGCCTGTATGCATCAACTTCCCGATCGATATGCATGCCACCGTATGGCGCTCTTGCCAGTGCATGCCGTCGCTTTCGGCATATTCTACCTATAATCAGTCCTGGTCCCCCTTTCTGACAAATCACTGCCTATAATACCTTGGAGTGCTGTGTAGCTTAGCTGAATACCAAATCAGGTCACTATGATGGTTACAGTGTAGTAAGCAGTCATTTCCCACCCTACCACCTTCATGAAAGCCAGCAGCGAAATAACGCACATATGGATTTGCATCGCATTTCTAAGAAGCTTCGCTCATCAGCTGTATTCGTGCACGGGAATGCTAGTTTTACTTGTGGCACATGTGATACCTATACTCGGCTTGTGTTATCCGGCAACAGAGCACGTGTGATTTTGACGCCAGAACCCCGAAGGTCATAAAGCAAGAAGATGGTGAGGAAGATGATTATGAAAAACATTTATTATAAAAGAGAGAGGTACGGGGCCAAAGCATGACCCCGCTACAAGGTCGGCGTCCTTAGTCCGGGACACCGCATGACGAGGCCCCTACTCGCGCCCGTCTCACCAGAGCTCGTTGAGACTCTAGTGATGAGCAGTTGAGGAGGGCAGTCTCCCATGCCTCTCGGGAAGGGGTAGGGGAAGGGGGTAGGTGGGGATTTTTCGGACATGCCCATACCATGTGGAAGATATCACTCGTCTACCCACAGTGTGGGAACCGTCCATTTGTGTTCGCATCGAAATGTTTTAGGATTGCAAGACAGAGTAGAGTACCTGTCTGCAGGCGCCTTAGAGTTCGCTCTTTTGCCTTACTCAGCCCCTTTGCAGGAGCCGGGTAAAGGCGGTGAGTGTCGCGATAATAGGTCAGAATTTCTTTGAACCGCAGCAGCGGTGTATTGGCCTCCGAGTCATAAGAGCCAAGGTAAGGATCCCGGTGGGTAAGCGCTAGGGCGGCCGCGTCAGCAGCCTCATTACCTCGTAAGCCCTGATGGCCAGGAGCCCATACGATGCGTTTCGGGGCTGGATCAGCGAGAGCCCGTTTTAGAATTTGGCTGGCTAGGGGGGATATCTCTCCTACCAAGTAATGAGCACATGCTTTCCGGGAGTCC